ATGGTTGACTCTTCGAGTTGCTTAATCTTACCAAGGCAAAATGGTCATGTCTCGGCTGAGACCATAGCGAGAGGACTTCAAACACACGAGGATTGTCTCTTTCGATGAAGTTCCTCTTTCGGCCTCTTCTATAACTACTCGTATAAGAAGATTGTGTTCCAAACGTTCCAAGGAAATTCCCGCAATCAACTGTTGTGTTTTACAATCCTACAAGCATGCTCAAGCCGGAGCCAACGATATGACCATAAACTATTATCCATACGTTCACCGAGTTACGGTATCGCTACTCCCAATTATTTTCGAACACCAACCAAACATCAAGTAACTTGATTCAAGTTGGGTTGTTTGCTCGATTTGGTCCGCCAGCACGGATTCATTCAGATCGAGGACAGCAATTCGAGAGCGCTCTCTTCCGAGCTACCTTGGACGCTCTAGGTATCTCTAAGTCTCGGACGACCATCTACCATCCAGCTGGTAACGGTTTGGTCGAACGACTTAACGGAACCATCTTGTCGATGTTGAGGAGACACTGTTGCATTCCCGACTGGCCAACCCATCTGCCAGCCCCCATGTTCAAGTACAATACCGCTATCCACTCGTCTACTGGTTACAGTCCATTTATGCTTATGTTTGGACGTGAGCCCCCGGCCGACTTTATTCCTACAACGTCTGCCTATAGCTCACTGGTATTTGATACTGAGACGTATGGACAGTATGTGGCTAGGGTACGAGCTTACTTGGATGATGAGGTCGACCAGGCAGTCACTCATGCAGCAGCGAGGTACAAAGCCTTCTACGATCGTAAAGCCAAGCCTACGGCTTTCTTCTCGAACGCCAGAGTCTTTGTACGTGCCGGATGGTCCGTCTGCACCTCCTGTCCCGTCTAGATTACGGACGAGGCCTGTGCCCCCTTCGGCAGCCTCTACTCCTGCAGCCTCATCAAGACCGTCTACGTTACTCCCGCGGCCGTTTATGTCGTCACCTCCTACAGCGGAGGGACGACCCGTTCACGGGCATTATTCGCCCCCGTCGCCGCCGCTCGCCTCTACACCGCTCCCGTCGCCGGCCCCTGGTAATCTTCAGAGCCCGGCTGAGTCGGTACCTTCGTATGGTTCCCTGCCTCCCCTGGAACCATCCCGACCTGTGTCACTTGACGAGCTTCCTCATGGACGCTCACGGTCTGTGACGTCTGCCACTCCTCTGGAGTCTCCCGAAGAGTCAACGCCGCTTCCCTCCGGTATGGCAAGCCCGATTATGGACGCTGGCTGCGAGTCTCCGGAAGGAA